GATGGACCGCCTGCAACAGCATTAGGATTTAATCCTCCAGACAAAGACATAATGAAGAAGCCCCCACGTAGAAGTGATGATTCACTTATCAGCGCGTGGATATTATTCCGCTATTTGGTAACTTTTCATTTTCTTCTTTCTTCCAATTTGTTGCATTTTGATGTCACAGTTTGAATGACTTCACATGAGGACATTCTCTCTAATCTTCTCGCTTGAATCTTTGGCTGGATAGGTAATTGGGATGTATGTTGGTGTGGCAACTGTCGGCGTATTCATTATTTGGTATACGCATGGTTCCTTCTTGGGTATCAACCTCAGTGGGGATGGCCATTCTCTTGTGACTTACTCCCAACTTGCCAACTGGGGACAGTGCTCATCTTGGACGAACTTTACTGCTTCACCCTTCACAGCTGGAACTCAGGTTATCTCCTTCGAGAATGACCCCTGTGATTATTTCCATAGTGGAAAAGTGAAAGCAATGACACTCTCCCTCTCCGTGTTGGTCGCCATCGAAATGTTTAACTCCCTCAATGCCCTTTCGGAGGATGGAAGCCTGTTGTCGATGCCCCCATGGGTGAACCCCTGGCTCCTTGTGGCCATGTCTGTTTCATTCGGCCTGCACTTCTTGATCCTCTACGTGCCATTCTTAGCTCAAGTATTCGGCATTGTGCCCCTGAGCTTGAATGAGTGGCTCTTGGTTTTGGCTGTTGCATTACCGGTGATTCTCCTGGATGAGATCCTCAAGTTGGTCGGGAGATGGACCAGCAGGTCTCAAGTAACCAAGAGGAGAGAAAAGCCCAAGACAGAGTGAGACAAGTTCCAAATTTTACAATAGAGATTGTTGGTCCAAGGGGTGTTGGTACTCCGTGGAAATGGGGGTCTCTCTGACACAGCAAGTTTCTATCAGGGGTCTCATCTGGACCCTCTTCCCGTTTTTATTTAGGGATGGTCTGGCTGTTGAAGAACAATTGGTCACAACAATATCTTGATTTGCCCGTACCCTCATCTAAATAATTCTTTTCTAGGGTTTTTTTTTTGGTAAAAACTTTCCCCCTTTTATTAGAGAATGCAATAGAAAAATTATGCAAGTTATCATCTTTTGCCCATCTCACTTTCCAACTTGGGAATTTTTTTTCCCTCTTGTCGTCAAGAAAAGGATGAAGACGCACAAGTATCAAACTCTGATTCCTAAGAAAGCAAATGACACGACAGTAGTGTGATCAGTATTCCTCGCAACTGCTCCACACCCATATGGTTGACCATGATAAAACAAAAAGCTTGCTTTCTTCTATTGGGTATGTATGTATGTACATATTTTCTTGCCTACAATAAAAGGCACCTATATTATATATCAGCAGATAGAAGGGTCATCTTTGACACACAAGCTTCTGGAAAGATTGTAGATTATTTTGATAGAAAAAGAGATTATCCAAGGGAAAGGAATCGTCAGAAACCCAAAAACGAGAAGTCATGGGGGGAGATTTTCTTCATCTACGGTTAATTTCGTCGAAGATGTTGAACCATCAAGTCACGGTTAGAGTTCGACTGTCGTCCTCATTCTCCTTTATGTGCCATTTTTCAAGTATATATAGCAATTTGACTCAAATTGTCAATAACCCGAAGTTTACTTTTTCCCATTGCTATATTTCTTGCCCGCAACAACCAACCATACCACACAGTCAGTCCACAGTAGATGAACACCCATTTATCCCACGCAGCCAGTCTAGAGCAGATGTAACACCCTCACCTAACACAAGCAGATAAGATATGTTACATGCAGAGAGATATTTTTTTACTAATATAAAAAAGAAAAGGTACGTCGAGTTAAACAAACAAGTAATTAGCCAGGAAAGTTGTACAAAACACATCATGTCATGCGTAGAAATGGGGTTTTCGTGAAGAAATGAAGGCGTGTAGAAAAAATAGATTATAATTTGGAAAAGACACAGGTCATCACTCTTCCATGACAAGCCAACCCTACAAAATAAACTAACAGAGAATTAAAATGCCCCGCATTTTGGTCCAATTACCATTGAGTTTGAGTTTCGCTGCAACCAACCAGGACTCTGATGCATATTGCATTGCATGTACAATCTCCTCTTTTGAAAACTTTTCCATCCCATGAACTGTCCCTTTTCAACTTTTTAATTCAAGTGAGCGAAAAGAAACCTACGTTGTCCAATAAAATGAGTTCGGTGATGGCCAGAAGAAACAAAGAAAATAATTTAAGGTTTTCTTTCGATTTGGACAACCTAACAATTTTGGAAAATTTTGTATGTTCTGGTCTACCAGGTGACTAAATAGGGTGACTATAATTAAAACCACCATGTAACAATACACTTGGAGCAATAAGAATCTAGAAAAATGTTTCAGCCTGCTTGGATTTTGCCTCTGGTGGTACTGAAAACTCTCTTTTACATAACAAAAATGTTTATTTATTTATTTATAACGATTGACTGAAATCCAATTTCTGAAAAAGCCTCTATAGTGCCTCCTTGAGAAACATTTGCACAATGAGTATGTGAGCACTTGAGTTTCAATTAAAACCTTTCATGTGCTTCAAACAAAAGTGTTACCAGTAAAAACAATACTATGCAAAAACATTTCATACACAGAAGCGTTTTCAAACAGACCCTTGATAATGATGTTATCGTATGCAACTCTTCAGTTGCCATGAAAATCCCAAATTCCATAGTTACATCACACACACACACAGAGATATATATATTAATTTAGCTTGGTTGATACTTTTGAAGCATTTAGTATAGTGAATACTTAAAAACTCAATTTTAATGTCCGAATGTTCATTTTCATAATTATCTATCCATCCAAATCTAGTTTTATTTATGAGGTTTAAGAAAGTACATAAAATCTTGGGGTGGTAGTTGGCATTTTAGCACAAAAATTGTAGAAATGCAATAGTTACACATAGTTCCAAAAGCCCCCTTGGACTTGGTAAGAAGTGTAGAGCTAGAAAGAAAGCTGTATAAAGCACAACTCTCCTCTCTCTCCTCTTCTCTTCTGACCAACTAAAGCAAGCTTTCACGCAAGCAACGGTTGGACACTTAAATCCACCAAACACAATGACCATCAAAATGCCACCACCTATAAATCTTTACTCTCAGAGTGTTCTCTAACTAGTTAGCAAACCCACCCAAAAATGGAGCTCAAGGAGTTTAGCCCTAGAATCCGCCGTGGCGTAAACCCTACACTTGGGGAGCTTCTCAAGTCGGTTGGAGATGCACAAAGCCCTGATCATGATCATCATATTCTTGAGTTAGGCTTTCCTTGCAGCTCTGTCCCTCCCTCCTCCTACCCTTTTGTCCTCTCATTCACCAATCTTACATATAGCGTCAAAGTCCGACGCAAGGTGAACTTAACACCCTCGTGTTTCGGTGCTAACTCCACTACGGCAGAGGTCAGCAAAGCCAACACCAAAGTTTTACTAAATGGCATCTCTGGGGAGGCTAGGGAAGGCGAGCTCATGGCGGTTCTAGGGGCAAGTGGGTCCGGAAAATCAACGCTGATCGATGCTTTAGCCGATCGAATCTCCAAGGACAGCTTGAAAGGCACGATCACATTAAACGGAGAGGCCTTAGACTCAAGGCTCTTGAAAGTGATATCAGCTTATGTCATGCAAGACGATCTTTTGTTCCCAATGCTTACAGTTGAAGAGACTCTTATGTTCTCAGCTGAATTTAGGCTTCCTCGCAGCTTATCGAAGTCCAAGAAGAAAGCTAGGGTTCAGGCTTTGATCGACCAACTAGGCCTTCGAAACGCTGCCACTACTGTGATCGGCGATGAGGGCCACAGAGGCGTCTCTGGAGGCGAAAGAAGGAGAGTTTCTATTGGAATTGACATAATTCACGACCCCATTGTTCTGTTTCTTGATGAACCAACTTCAGGGCTTGACTCGACGAGTGCTTTCATGGTGGTGAAGGTTTTGCAGAGAATAGCTCAGAGTGGGAGCATTGTGGTCATGTCCATTCACCAACCCAGTTACCGGATTTTGAGCTTGTTGGATCGTTTGATATTTCTTTCTCATGGACAGACTGTGTATGGTGGCTCGCCGGCGAATCTTCCAGTGTTTTTCAGGGAGTTTGGACATCCGATTCCCGAAACTGAGAACCGAACTGAGTTTGCTCTCGACCTCATTCGAGAATTGGAGGAAACCCCAGGTCACTATTTCAACTTCGCTAATTTTGTTCACTAAATAACATGATAACACACACATGAGTAGTATTTTATCTAGTCGAAATAATTAATGTTTGGAATGGGCATAAATTGAATTAACCATAGATTACTTTTTTTCCATTAGTATATTTCTTGCCTACCAAAAATAACCATGGCATACAGTTAGTCCACAGTAGATACGAACTCTTGTTATCCCATACAACCAGCCTATAACAAGAGGAGAAATACTTCTTTATTCTCGTTTCATTGCTCTCTCTTCCTCTGATAGGTGACATGAGGAGATATAACACCCTTGCCTATTGCCGGGGGATATGTAGAGATATATTTTGTTACTAATTATAAAAAGAAAAGGTGAGTTAAACAAACACTAATTAGCTAGAAAAGTTGCACAAAATACATCATGCCATTTTGTAGAATGGAGTTTTCGTGAAGAAATGGAAGCGTGTAGAACATAGATTATAGGAGACACAGGTCACCATCACTCTTCCATGGCAAGCCAACCCTTAAACTAATTAGAGAATTAAAATGCCACAAATTTTGGTCTAATTACTATTGACTTTGAATTTTGCTGCAACCAACTAGGACTATGAGTCTTTAATTTATGATGCATTAAGAAAAGTTTCTAATTGGATTAAGAAAAGTTTAACATATGAAGAAACCTAAGTTATCCAATAAAATGACTTTGGTGATGGTCAGAAGAAACATATAGCAAATCTACGTTAAATTTGTTCACCAAATTTTGCTAATTGAATACGTGGGCCAATCGTACTTTGTCGTCTAGAAATAAACCATGTATAAAATGGACATAAATTGAATAAAACTAAACACTGTGACATGTCACATGATCATTTGTACATAAATTTAGTGATGATACTATTTTTAAAATTGGATATTTCAACAGGCGGAACAAAGAGCTTGGTGGAATTCAACGAGTCCTGGCAGCTCAACAAAAATCAACAAAGACAAGAGGCAGATCCAAACAACTTGATCAACTCCATCACCAAGCCAAAGCTTTCCCTCAAGGATGCAATAAGTGCAAGCATTTCAAGAGGCAAACTAGTCTCCGGTGCACCAAATGACCCAAGCCTCTCCTCCTCAGTCCCCACATTTGCCAATCCATGTTGGATTGAAATAGCAGTCATCTCCAAACGCTCCCTCACAAACTCAAGACGAATGCCAGAGCTCTTCGGCATTCGCCTAGGTGCAGTCCTCGTGACCGGACTTATTTTAGCCACTATGTTTTGGAAGCTTGACAACTCTCCAAAAGCCGAGGCCATTCCAATTTTCCTCCAAGAACGCTACATTTTCATGAGAGAAACCGCCTACAATGCCTACCGCCGGTCCTCTTACGTTCTTGCTCACTCTCTAATCTCCATTCCCTCCTTGCTCTTCCTCTCCTTAGCCTTCGCCGCCACGACCTTTTGGGCCGTGGGTCTGGCGGGTGGTGTTCATGGCTTCCTCTTCTTCTTCTTCACTATTTGCGCTGCGTTTTGGGCCGGGGGTTCTTTCGTCACATTCCTTTCGGGCATTGTGACCCATGTCATGTTGGGCTACACAGTTGTGGTGGCCATTTTGGCCTACTTCCTTCTCTTTAGTGGGTTCTTCATAAGTAGAGATAGAATCCCACTCTATTGGATTTGGTTCCACTACATTTCCCTAGTGAAGTACCCATATGAAGGTGTCTTGCAAAATGAGTTTGATGACCCCACCAAGTGCTTTGTGAGAGGGACCCAGATGTTTGACAACACACCACTAGGAACCGTCCCCGTGGCAATGAAGTTGGAGCTGCTCAAGAGCATGAGCACCACTTTGGGAGTCAACATCACCGGCTCCACGTGCGTGACCACGGGAACAGATATACTGAAGCAGCAGGGAATCACTGACCTCAGTAAATGGAGTTGCTTGTGGATCACCGTTGCCTGGGGGTTCTTCTTTAGGATTCTGTTTTATTTTACTTTGTTGTTGGGCAGCAAGAACAAGAGGAGGTAGTAATTTGTGAGGTGAGGGGTGTCACAGTCATGTAATCTGTCTGATTATTATTTTCTTTATTGATTTTCAGTGTATAATTTTAAGTTATTACCATGTAGTTTTGTAATACATGCAACACATTGCTTATGAAAGATTTTCACTTTTGATGTCTTGGACCATGATTAATTAGCGATTGTCACATGTCCAAGATAAAAGAAAAAAATGAAACTGCTTTTATAAAAGGAGAAATTCTTTGGTCCGGCAGGCGAACCACGTCATTCATCAAGATAATTCTTTGCACTGGGGTGGAATGAGCATGAGCCTGGTTGCGACTCAAATACAACCAAACCCTTTATTTGTGTGTGTGACCAAAGGAGCGACGTGGTATGCCTGCCGAGTCCTATAGAACAGATGCCTGAAATAATTCTAAAACAACCTAACAAGCTCAATGCCCATCTTCAGACCAAAAAAAAAAAAAAAGCTCAATGCCCATCTAGATATGGGGTCAACTCAGAACAAAAGGAAATAAAACGAGTCAACTCAGAACAAATTACTGACCATGTGAAAGTAGAATTTTGGTTTTGTGGCCAAATTGTATCTATCGAGCCAGGAATCGTCCAATTTGGGCCGGAAGTACTTCTATAAAGTCCATTGGGCCAAGGCCCATTAATATGAGGCCCATGAAGCAATAAATAATGACATTTGGCGGTGATGTTACCAAACCAAACCCGGATTAATTTTTCAGTCTATTTATCTGCTAAAATCCTAACCCTTGGATAAAAGAAAAAGTTATCCTGGCCGTCAAACCCGTCGGCTTCGTTCTATAAATAACAGAGACAGAATCTATCCGTCTATCTCTCTGTGTTTCGAAAGCGCTGTTAGGGTTAAATCGACATTTGGGGCTTTTTACCAGTCAAGGTACGAGCTTTTAACAATAATTCAATTGTTTAAATACTTGGGATTTCAAGGGTTTTCTCGTTCGCAATTCAGTGAGTTTATAAAGTTTTGAGTTTTTTTAATTTTTACAATGGGTTTTAATTAGATTTGTGTTTCTGTATCCGATAATTTGCTTTCGAATTTATATGTTGAGCTGGAGATTTGTAGATCCTGGATAATTTCTTGTTAAGGTGATTAAAGAATATAATTAGGGCTTGTCAGTTGTTTCTGGAAACTTGATTGGTTTACGCTCTGCACTTTTTTCTTCAAATTGTTTTTGGAGGGGTTAATTGTCTGATTATTCGAGATTAGGAGTTTCTGCTTTAGCTAGTGTGCAAAATTTACTATGCCTCGCACAATTTTTATGGATTCTCAAATTATCTCTTATCTGTGTATGTTTCTTTTTTAAATCCAGTTGGGTCTGAAAAAATTACGTACAGTTTTTTGGAACTGGAAGTGTTATTTTTTTTGTGTCTACCAATTCCCTATTATTCATGTCAATTAACTGGATTTGTGAATTTTAGCAAGTTTTTTTTTTTTTTTTGGGGGACAGAATTGTAGCAAGGTTTCTTGTTCAGTGTTTACCTTGCTAATTACAATTTTTTTTGGCAGCTTGAAAATGCCTCGTTATGATGATCGATATGGCAATACACGCCTATATGTTGGTCGTTTGGCTTCACGCACCCGTTCACGTGATCTGGAACGCCTTTTCAGCAGATATGGCAGGTAATTGCTTTTGTTGTTTCAGAATGTATTTTGAGTGATAAATTGTTATTTCAGAATGTGTTTTGAGTGATAAACTCATCATCCATGCAATATATTCAAAACCACAATAGTCATGTTAAGGTACCTTATGAATTGAAATCTAATTGAAAACTAACTTATCCATGCAATATATTTGAAATCACAACATCAGCTCGTGAGGGCATCCACCAGAAGTGTTGGGGACATTTGGTTCCTTGCCAAGCTTGCCTTTGTGCTTGGTTTAATGTAAATTTTCATGTTCTGTGTGGGAGCATTTTGCCCCTAGGTGTTGTGTTTTCTTAACTCGAATAATCTTGTTGAAGGTTTTCTGGGGTTTGGCCTTACTTGGAGGTCTATGGTGAGAGGGTGGCCTTGGTGGAATTGGTGGAAATTCTTGCCGAGTGTATATGAGACTTTGGTGATTCTTTCTGTAGTCTTATTGCGTGTTTTTATGCAAATGGCAACAATCTCAATCTGGTGTTTAGTTCGTCTGTGACGGGCGAAGTATCATGCACTTGAAGTACTTAAGTAATGATAGCCTTACTGTTTCTGGCAACCGTTTACGCAGAGTACGAGATGTGGACATGAAGCGAGAGTTTGCATTTGTTGTAAGTTTTTCTTACTCTTGGTATTTCTATTCTTTTTGCTTATATTTTGTTATCTTCAGAACCTGCTTATGGATCATAAAACCCAAAAAATGGGGGTCACCTGTTTTGTCTTCTGCCCTTACTTCTTGATAACAGGAATTTAGTGATCCTCGAGATGCTGATGATGCCAGATATAGCTTAGATGGTCGGGAGTTTGATGGAACTCGTCTTATTGTTGAATTTGCAAAGGGGGTAAGGTCTACAAGCTGAATTTTCCTTTCTAATTCAAATACCCGTGCATGTTATACTATGGATTCTTCCAAGTTTTTGAATTAAAATGCCCCTTCTAGTTTCCTGGTTACATACAGGGGTGTTACAGTGCCAATTCATAACTAAATCCCTCTTTTCCTCGTCACTTTATATTACTGTTCTCAGGTTTCTAATCTGTTCATGTTCTCTCATCAAACTCACATCTCCTTTCTGTGTTATATGGAATAGGGACCGCGTGGTTCCCGGGAATATCTGGGAAGAGGTCCTACTCCTGGGTCTGGTCGTTGCTTTAATTGCGGTATTGATGGCCACTGGGCTCGTGATTGCAAAGCTGGGGACTGGAAGAATAAATGCTATCGCTGTGGAGAAAGAGGTCATATAGAAAGGCAGTGCAAAAATAGTCCCAAGGAGTTAAGGTATTCACTTTTTCTCAAGTCTTGTTTCATTGCTTGTTTCCTCCTCCCTCCTGTTTTTGGATGCACTGTGGGATTCTTTTTTGACATTGTTCAAATTAAATTATATTGCAGGCGTGGGCGGAGTCGTTCACCTGGATCACGTTCACCTCGCCGTGGGAGAAGCCGTAGCCCAAGTTACAGCCGAAGCCGCAGCTATAGGTCAGTGAGTATGCTCTTGATTTCGAGTTTCGTTATCACATGCATTTTATCATCTTATATAATGTGTTCTTAGATGTATTTGTAATTTTGACTTGATTGATATGAAGATCATTAGCAACATTTGTTTACTGTAGTTATCTGTTGCGTAGTGAGTGAGTCGTAACATGCTTGGGGTTTAGAATTGTGTTTCTTTTATTTAAGAGAATAACTGAATTGGTATTCCTCATATGATCTAATGTGGAGGGTTGTGAACAAACTTAGATTCAGATGCATGATGTCTATTGAGATTTATACTTAATATTTTTCTAACAACTTGATCATTTTGTGTGTTGCCAGTCGATCAAGATCCCCAGTAAGGAGAGGGAGAAGCCGAAGCCTAGATCGGTATGACAGATCACTGAGCCCTCCTTACAGGAAGAGTCCACTGCCCTCAAAGGGGAGGAAGCACAGCCTTACACCTGATGAAGGCAGCCCCCATGGGAGAGGTAGCCCTTCTCCCAGAAATGGTAGACTCAGCACAGAGCGAGATGGCTCAGACTACAGTCCCAGGGGAATTAGTAGAAGTCCAGTTAGCCCCAGAGGGAAAAGCAGAAGCCCGAGTAGCCCTGGAAGGGATAGCCCTACTGTTGGGAAGTACCCGAGCCCTACCGAAGCTAATGGTCGCAGCCCCAGTCCAAGGGACGATAGGAGCCCTGTTGATTATGAGGATGGACGCAGTCCGTCACCCTAGGCTGTTCTGGAGAAGAATTTGTTGTCTCTTAGACAAAACTTTGAGCATGCATAAACTATTTAATTTTTCCCTGCTTGTTCTATCTATGAGCATATTTGACTCGCTCGTTCTATTTAAATATTACATAAGAAACCGAAAACAAAAAACAAAACAAAAAACTTGTGGAGTTCAATCTTGTTATCCTATTTTGAAACTAGTCTTCTCTTCAAGATATATCATTAAATTAAACTAACTGAGTTTAGAACAATGACACCGTTCCATCTTTACCTTTATGAAAACACACGGACTAAATTGGCCATAAACACGAACTAAATTCTAAATTGGCCAACGTATGTGGACAGGGAACAGGGACTGGGTTTCTTTAGCATTTAAACCTTATTGTTACTACAAACCTGGCACTAAAGAATTTGACCACCTATATAATCCCTAATTACATTTCACAATCAATTGATTGTTTTGAATTTAATTGCCAGGTAAAAATGCCAGAAAGTGAGTAAATAATTAGATAAATAAATAACATTTTTTTTTTTTGGTCAATAAATAAATAATTAGTTTGGAACACATAACTGGTTGGAATAACCAAAAAAATAAAAAATTCGATTTCTTGGTCAAATTAAATTTTAGTTATTTGCTTGCTTGGAATAAGAACACTACAAGAAACCTTCTGCAACAATTTGAATAAACCTAAACCACCGCCATCCTCCAACTCTTATCCACAAAATGTCCAACGCAGTGGCTTTGCCCTGTCTTGGCATAGTCAGCAAGGCACGCCGGCCACGTCAGACGGCCAAGACAAAGCCAAGCAAAATCCCGCCGCCGTCGACGACGAGTATCGGGTTCGGGACGAAGAGGAGGGAGCAGACGTGGCAGTGCATAGAGGGTTGTGGAGCTTGCTGCAAGCTCGAAAAAGGTCCCTCCTTTGCTACCCCTGAAGAAATCTTCAATAACCCAACTGACATTGAGGTCTGCACCCACCATGTCTCTGAGAAAATCCTCAATATCATTAGTTTGTTTTTCTTTTTCGTTTTCTGAATTGGGTTTTATGTGAAATATTTCAGCTTTACAGAAGCATGGTGGGTGCAGATGGGTGGTGTGTGAACTTCGACAAAGGCACACGCAAGTGCTTAATTTACAATGGTGAGGCATTTCATTTCACTTGTTTTACAAAGCTCACCTTTTTGTTTTCAATTTGCAGCCTTCTCATTTTACTTTGAAATCTTTAACAGATCGTCCCTATTTTTGTCGTGTGGAGGCAGAGGTTTTTCAATCACTGTATGGGATTAATGAGAAGAAGTTCAACAAGGAGGCCTGCAGGTTGGTTTTCTGTTAAAAGCAATTGAGAATGATGGGTTCTTTTAGTTTTTCTTGTTCATGCTTTGATTTGGCTCAATTTTCCATCTTTTTGGTTGCAGGAGCTGCAGGGACACCATAAAGTCTGTTTATGGTCCTCATTCAAAAGAGTTGGTTAACTTCAACAGCGCAGTAACTTCAAGCTCCAGCAGCAATAGTTGTTAAATGAATGCATTGCTAATTATGACAAATTTGCAGCAAACTGGTATAACAAATTTGGGCAAGATTCACTTTTGATGGACCTTCAAATTCCTCACTCAATTCAGAGCACCAAACTGGCCAATGATTAGTGATCTCCACTTGGGGAAGAAACTTCGAGAGCCAGAGTTTTTCGGCATCTGCAGATTCTGAGACAAGAAATAGGCTTATCCAAAGTGACAATTTAATGTAATTCACAAAGTGCTTATTTGAATCTTTCAACATTTTTGTTTACAAGGTTGAGGACTTGGACATACCTCAGAACACTTTGTACCAAAACCATCTTAAAAATGATTGGTTTCGCATAAAGAGCTCAGTTTGCTTAATCTACTTGATTTAGAATTAATTTGTACAGCTGTCGAATACTGATCATATTTGATTTACAATTGAACACACGGACTTATCAGATTAAGCTCAGAGTTGTAGGAGCGTGAGAAAATTGCGTGGACATATGACCTCTAAGCCAGTGAAAGCTCTCAAACTTGGTCCAAGACCACCAGTCTGTTAAAACCGTTATTTCAAGAAGATTCATAACCACCACAGATCCAAATTCAAGAACTTCTCCTCACACACTTTGTTCACCTCCTCCTCTTTCTCTCCCTCTCTCCAAAATGCCAAAGTTGATGATCTCACAAACCTCAACTTCAACCATGTCCATACTTCTCCTTGTAGCTTTCTTGGCCCTCACTCCCACCATTGAAGCCCTCTGCTCAGACACCGTGTTCACTTCCCTCTCGTCATCTGGCTTCACACTCTTTGCTCATGCTTTGCATTCCCACAACCTCACCGCCACCGCCAACACTACCGTCACCTGTTTCATCCCGCCCGATGACAGCTTCTTAGGGCAACCCCTCAATGCCAACACCCTCCGAGCTCACATCTACACGTCGGAGGCCTTGCCTTACCAGTCCCTCCTTAGGCTTCCACTGAACACCACCCTCCCAGCTCTCCACCACAACACAAGGCTTGTTTTCGGCACTGATGGCAAAAGGGTCTCTTTCAATGACGTTCTTGTCACTGCCCCGAATCTCCACATTGATGATTCTTGTGCTGTTCATGGCGTTGAAGGGCCTTTGGTGCCAATCCCATCATTGATGGATGATGTCCCGAGGCCAAGAACCGAGACTCTGCCATCTCCAGCCTTGCCAAAGCATCGGGGTCATCGTCGGTTTGCAGAGATTGTCAGGTTTGTTCGTCGTGCACCCAATCCAGTTATTGTGGATGGGGATCAAGACACCTACCTCCCTTGAGAATTTTTGAAGTCTTGGCAATGTTTCTTTGTCTTGACGGGATATTTGATGTTTTACTGTTAGTCGAGCATTTCGATTCTGGTTGTTAATCTTTGTGATTTAGGGAGTCATATTGTTTGAGATTTAGCTGGTTTTGGGTCGAAAGAGTTTGTCAAATCATGGTGCAGTTTCCATTTCTTGTGGAACCAGAAATGCTGTGTAATTGTAAACCATAATGAAATACCATTTGGGATTTATTCCAAACCAGTTTCTTTCTTTCTTCATTAGTGATCTCCTCATAAACAGAATTTATGAGCTGAAGTTTTACATTTGATGAATTCAGCAGTGAATTGTTGTTGTGTGACAACTTGAGAATATATTTTGCCAACCACATTGCAAGTTAATGGGATTGTATGGACCAAAAGAAAGGCTTTCTCAACAAGTGGAGGCTGTGACTTCATCTCTCAGAGAATGAGAATCGAATAAAGATGCTCTGCCGGCCAATCTCTAAAGCCTTCTTTTCATACAAAAAGATATTCGGTTCATGAAGGCATTAGTAGTTAGTAACCAAAGTTATGGCCAGTTACGATAGATTTCAGAGACCAATATGCTCATGTTCCCTTTTCTTTTCTTGTATCAGAAACAACCTTTCCCACATAATATAAGCTCTAGCCTCTAGCCTTTCCTCGAATGTCCCAACTCCTGAATGCTTCCTTCCTAGAATAGAATAGAATTACCTGTCTACTTGGGACTAAGCTAAGTTTCAGAGAGACCTTTGAGCAAGGTTCGACCTGCGTTGGAGCTTGAACATGAACGAGGAAGGAGTCGAAGAAACCCACTTCATTCCATATGATAGAAATTATGTCATTGCTTACAATAATGAACATCAGCCATCAGATGCAATATGGTATCCTTGTCCTTTCTTCAACCCCATTTCTTCCCAGGAAGGATTTCTTGATGGTTTAACATCTCCATCATGTGGGACAGATGAGGCCGATTTCGCAAGCAGTCTCTGGAATGAGAATGAACGTGCTGAGGAGACTTATGAGGGTGAAGAGTTACCATATTATGGCTGTGGAAACTGGCTCAGAGAATATGAGAGCTCCTTTGGTCAGTGTTGGGGAGATGGTTACTTCTCCCATGGCAATGGAACTCACAACAATGAAGGAGACAGTGAGTTGAAGGAGATAGAAGGCCCCAGGCAGAGTGAACAACAACATGAAAGCCATTTGAGGCATGAAGAAGTCACTCAAGATGGCCATCCTTCTTGTGACTCTAATCCTTGGTATGATCTTTGGCTTGCATTTGGAGGGGAAACAGAGACCTATGGCTGGGGTGAGCAAGAAACCAGGATCACACCTTCCTACAACGTGCCGGATATCGGAGTTTGTGAGAGTCTTTTTGGCTACTGGCCTTGCTTGTATCGATAAGACTGAAAGACATGTAATGAACAGCTAGTGAACAATGACTTGGCAACAATCTTTGTGATCATGGAATTCTTGTGTTTCGCATTCTGATGTAAGATATGGGTGAATTGTAGATTTAGGTAGTTTAGCGGAAGCGAAAACAATGAAAACAGAAAATTAAACACATAAAGATAGGTTTGGAATCACTCAAGGGGCTTCACACCCGTCCTTGGCTTCGCACCAAACATCAGAATTCTCTAATATCTGGACTCAATAACTCAAATCTACCATAATGAATTACATGGGATGGCATTTATAGCAAATTAAAACCAAGAATGAGAGACTTCACCAAATTCGTCTCCACAATCTTCGTCGGCAAGTTGGGGCTCATAAAACCTATCGGTACTGTAAATAACACCTATTGAAGTGTAACTTAGTCATGGGACTTTGGCCTCCCAAAGTTCGTCTTCAAAGTTCCTTGTCATTTCTCAAATCCTTCTTTAAATTTGCTAAACAGGTAAGTTTTGATCATATGGGACTTTCAAGCCCCAAATCCCATTTCTAAACACACTCTAGAGAACTTAAAGAATCCATGGAAACAAATAACTCACAAATTCAGGCAGATGCTACTAGACCAACAAATCTGCCACCTCAGTACTCAAAATGTTTGTCCTCGTTTTGTTTTCCTCGTGTATGAAACCACTCGACTCCCAGAATAGGCTTAAAAGCCACCTAATCCCTCAACCATGGGACTTGAAACTGTCCCAAGTTTACTGCTGCTGCTCATATATCTGCATATAAGTCTCAGAAAGGGCAAACATTTGGGGAAGAGTTTCCGAAACATGAAGATCCTGCATCTCATGCCATAATTCTTCTGACTTTCCCTGTACAAATATCCTGTATGAACCTTCACCAGGTTTGCCATCATGAACAATGTTGGCAATCAGATCATACTTTGAACGCAAACTCTCATTCTCTTTGGGGATTGACACTGGGATGTAGTCTTTCCCACGAAAGTCGACTAAAGTCGGATTCTTTTCCACAAAGAAGTTGTTCTTGGTAAATCGCTGAATGTGGATAATAAGATACTGTGGTAATCAGGTGACTCGATTCCTCATCCTTGCTATGCGAGGTCGGACTACTTCAGTCACAGTCTCCCCATCAAATTTCTTCAGAATGTTGGATAGCCGGACCTGGGGTATTATGCTTTTCTCCATCACATCTTTGGAAAGAGGCGGTGGGGGCAAATCCAACCCAAGCATTAAGAAAGGCATTTTGTAAGTTTCCTTGAGAATGCCGTTGTTTTCAGTGGCAGCATCTGTATTCAGATCATCACCATTTTCTTTCTTAGGAATCTCCTTCACAACCTCCAGTTCCCCCTGAAAGCACTCATAGATGATGCTGCTATCTTTCTTTGAATTTGTAAGATGTGCGTGCAGTGTATTAAGCAGCCATAAGATGAATTCAACAGGATCAGATTGCGCTCCTATTCGAAACCGTTTCTTACTGGCTTTCATAACTGCCTGCACCTGTCCTTTGAAATTGCGTGCACTGCATGCCATATCTTTCTCGTGAGCTCCCCGAATCGATAAACAAGTGGAGATTTACAATGTTGATAATTCTTAGGGATGAGGAAAAAGTTTCTTAGTGGAGTAACTCATTAATGATTGAATGGTGACATTGACAAAATCAGTCTCCTTCATGCTATTGAGCCTCAACATTCCAGGAAGGTAATAAGAACCATCAAGTGCCCTAGACCATTGCTTGTTTTTGTCAATCTGCTCAACTTGTTCCTCCGTAAACCTCGGGTTCAGGACATGTCTAATGTCATCCAATGACGGGTCACTGATGTCGTATCCATCAGGAAGGCAATAAACTTTCTCCGTCCGAAGATCGATATAAACATGGTGTCCAGCTTCAAGGCTATGAGTGTATGCATGGGACTTGTTCCCTCTTCCTTGGTAACACTTACCACAAACTAAACAAGCATACACATTCAAATTTGACACAGACAGAGAACAAAATCAAAATATAAAAAAAAATCGAAAACTTAATCAAATCCTACTAAAATCTGCAAACTATAGAACCTAAGAAAATAACAAATAAATTAGGAACCTAAATAATGATGGCCACATCACTTTCATCTGTATAACTCACAATATTAAATATACAGCTCTTAATTTCGACTAAAGTATGAACAATGCCATGCACCCACCGACGACAGAGGGTTTCGTCTTTGGCCACTCAAGAATACATTGAGCGTCACAAGAAAAGTAAGATTTTGCACAGTATGTACCTATCTTTATCTTTGTTCTCTTTTTTTTACTCTTTACAATAGCAAAATTTATGTAAGATCAACCTACTGTAAAGAAGGTAAAAAATTAAATTAACTATAAGTCCATCATATTACATGGTCAAGCCCCATTTCCTCTTCAATATCATCCCCATCTTCAAACAGCTTTAGGAACCGAGCTTGATCTTGCTCTCTCTTCTTCTTTTGCCAGAACTTGTGTGCAACTACTCCTCCAATAATACACACTACTAAAACGACAACAACGATTAATATCACTAGAACAATATGCCATCCATTTTTCTTTTCTTCTTTATGTGCTGCAGTCGCGGACTTGGAATCTGCAAACATATGGCCAGAAAATTATGATTACAAGTTGGACGCTAAATATAAGAGTAGATTGGATTCAAATACAGATGCATGCATGCCAACAACAGCTACGCTAGTTGGTAATCAAGTATGAAATGAAGGCAGCAGCATCAAGAAAATCTGGAAATTTCCGTATTATCGAACGCATTCAACTACAGTTAAGAATCATGCAGAGCTTTATCTTCTGTTATTTCTAGCAAACACACGCCACCAAAGTTCCTAACCACTCATTTGAGTAATATGCACTAAAATATCATTAGCTAGGAATTTTATCCAATATGGGAGCATTTGCATGCCATCTAAAAGTGAGCTTACTGTGACCAGTTTAAGGCTCTAACCACAAAACTCCTTATCAACTTAAACTAGGCATGAACGAAATGATCTCAAAATTTTCAATTGAGTAGACTCTCACTCACCAGGTGAAGCAGCAGGTAGACACCTTGGACACGAAAAGGTAGCGTTGAATTCCTTGCTCTTGAATCGGACGTATTTTCCATCAGAAGAATTGAAGTCAGAAGGACATAACTCCCACTCATCAAATATGTCATCTGATTTAAAGGTGTCCTTCTCATACAACCCGCATCGCTTGCACTTCTTACTCGAAAACTCTGTCAGAGGCTGAAAGCATGAAAAATCATAATTCCATCAGAAACCTACCTAATTAAAAGCTCAACAACAGCTTTTCAGCTCAAAACAGCTTGGGTACATATATACAATTGATTTCTAGCAGGACATCAGACATATTATGCTGTCAGAGTCAATCAGTACCGCACATTATTCTACCTATTCAATGGCCCTGATCTCACAACACCATATGGCTAGTTATGTTTTCTAAATTGGACCAAACAGAATTCATCTTATCAAAAATTACAGTCTTAAATTTTAAAACAAAGGCAAATTGAAATAGAAACGGAAATTTTGAGCATAAGCACAATCTCACCTGCCAAGACTCTTCGCCTTTGAATTCATACGACACGTGCTTCTCCTTCACATCTGGAAACACCGTCTTGTTCTCCCCTTGGCATGTGAAATACACAATCGGCTTCACACCTTTTATGAACTCGTGCGTGTCGTATATCACAATCGAACCCAGCGTCACGGTCGCCGATAATATACATCCTATGTACGAAAACAAACAAATCAATCTCACACACAACGGCGTCGTATTCAACACATCAAATTCCTGTTTGTTTCCCGAGAAAAATAATGAAAATTTACCCGGAAAGCAGCCGAGGAACACGCCAAAGACGATAAAATTGATTGAAACCTTAGAAATCCACGGCTTCCGAATCGGCATATCGAGATTTATATCGCGTTTTGTCGAAAATTTGGAGGAGATGATCGGACAGAGAAACGGCGGGAGTGCGCGATACGCAGCTCTCTCGTTTGTCTCTCTGAGACCACCGCGAGGAGAGGCAATTTCGTCAAATGAAAAGTGTGGTTGGTGTTGTTGTGTCGGTGGTTTTTGCTGGTGTTTTCGAATCTTTTTGTTTTCGTGAGCTCGAAGAAGATGAAGATGAGAGATAAACGAAAAGCGGGGTTGACCGTGACCAGTTCGCGCTTCGCGCTACGCCATTTCAGAAAATTACACGGGGTTGAAGTCTCTGATGGGCTAGGTGCGTAGTGCGCACTACGCACATCACTTCTCAGATCATGCCACGTAGTCGAAAATCAAATGATCTCTGTAGTCTGTAATATTTCTGATTTTTTACTTGAGCACATGTAGTTTTAGTTTTAGCAATTAAAGACATGTAATTTTATTTAGATTTGCAATTCAGGACAACCCGTAAATTTGTTAATGCTCCAAATTAAAATATAGAGTGGCACCATGTCATGGATACACATGCATGGCAATCTATTGTTTGTTAAGCTATTGTTCAGTTATTGTTCTTAACATGTAAGTAACAAGCTGTTAATTGCATCATATTATCATATGTTTAAATGACGATTTAGTTACTGTTACTGATTATCACGTTTTGGTTATGAATAGACTTTTCATACTATATTCTTTATTATTTTACGGTGCTTCTTTGGGTTACGATCTTCTTTATCATCTTGTACGGTGTTTCTTTCGATTTTGAATGAAACATCATTTTCAACAATGACGTTAAAATTAAGACTATAAGTATAATTTGACCTTGATCAAATGAGAGAGTTAGAAAAATAAATACACTACTTAATCTATTCCCTCTATTGTTGATGAAACCAAACTTTTCCAAATAAAATTGAATGTGACCAAATCTTTTTCATTTTGAAATAGACAAAAGAGATTAATGGACAATTAGAATATTGTCACGAATCGATCAAGAACATGAGTCATATAGTCCTTGATATATCAGACCAAAAAATAAAATAAAATAGTCCTTAATACATCATTGTCGGTTTGATGATGGTGGAAGTGGCAGAACCACTCCTAGGCTAGGAGTGGCCCTGGCCCCCTCATTTTTTGACCTCTCTCCTATATACAACTTACTAATAGACAACTTGTAATTTAAATTAATGGCCCCTTTAAAAACAATTAGACATGACTAATTTTGAAAATTTTAGTTCTAATATGTATTTTGAACACTTAAATGTATTTGATATACTTGTGTTTTCTATCTCGGTTCTCTCAATCTTAAAATTCTAGCTCCGCCTTTGTGGTGGAAATTGATCTCTCTTGCTTTAAAATATATATTTCTAAAAAATAACCTTCTAAAATTCAAAGGTGATGCTGCCGAATGGTATATTAAACACACACCTGAAAGAAGTACAACTAACTTAACTAACATTGAGCTTGCAGCACAAGAAGGTATGGACAGGTATTTTGCATGAAAACAACATTCTGAGCCATTGACCTGAAGACGTCCCGAAACTGCGGCTCTCCATCGCCAGCCTCCTAACAATAGCATAACTATTTATGCTTTTTTCAAGGGTCAATTTTGGCATCAATCTATCTATTTTCGTAAAACTATGGATGCCCCAAGAAGGATTAGGCATAGCATGATGGTAAAATCGATTGAGTTGTAAGGTCATTTTATGGAAACTACACCAAATAAAGCACCTCTTAGCCCTCTGATGCTCGCTCTCTCTTGCCGATGCTCTCCGAACTTGAGAGCTGGCAACCGAAATTAAACCAAACCAAACCAACTTTGCCATATCATTTCACCCTTATCAAATATAAAATACCTAAATTATAACCACCATTGCCACCACCCACCTCCACATACAACAACCCAATGCCGCGACGTCAAACTTTCGCTACTATAATAATAACCACCTCTATTTTGATCCCCTTCATCTTGGCCGACCCATTCCACCTCCCGAGACACGACGTTCATATCAATCATGTCGAAAAGGTGACTGCCAAATCCAATGCTAATCCCCATGCCAATAACGTAGACAATGACGAGAATGGCATTGGAACAAGCATTGGCGGGATTGCAAATGCCGCCAATGACATTGTCAACGACGTGGCCAACGCATTGCAACCGAACAACGAAAACTACACAGAATACGCGCCGCCCGCGCTAGCCCAAGAGTTCATCATGGCGCATAACAAGATTCGAAACGCTGAGAACGTGCCGCCCTTGGTATGGAATGAGACGTTGGCCCAATTCGCAGAGGATTGGGCCAAGAAGCAGACTGATTGCGGCATGCGCCACTCGAAGGGCCAATACGGGGAGAACTTGTTCTGGGGTTTTAAGGCCCATTGGTTGCCGAAAGAGGCAGTGGAGGATTGGGCTCATGAGAAGCAATTTTACAACAGAGAAAAGCGACAATGCGCCCAAGACAAAGCTTGCGGCCACTACACGCAGATTGTATGGAAGAACACTCAACATGTTGGGTGCAGTCGGTTCAGATGCTCCAACGGAAGTTTGCTCATTATTTGTGAATATGCTCCTCCTGGGAATTATGTCAATGAGGACCCTTTTAATCCAAGCTCTCCACTTTCTCCTCCTCCTACTCCTAGTGCTACTTCTCCACCATCTTCGTCATCACCGCCATCGCCATCGCCACCGCCGCCAACACCAACACCGCCATCGCCATCTCCGCCGCCGCCAACACCAACACCACCATCGCCACCACCGCCAAAACCAACACCACCATCTCCACCACCACCAATACCAACACCACCACCGCCACCACCGCCAAAACCAACACCACCATCTCCACCACCGCCAAAACCAACACCACCACCACCACCACCGCCAACACCAACACCACCACCGCCAAAACCAACACCACCATCTCCACCACCGCCAAAACCAACACCACCATCACTACCGCCAAAACCAACACCACCATCGCCATCACAGCCAACACCAACACCACCATTGCCATCATCACATGCATCTACTTCTCCACCATCGTCGCCGTCTCCACCACAATCATCACCACCACCACCCTCTCAGCCAACATTGCCTCCGAGACGAAAGGTAACTTTAAGTCCTTGATTTGAGGCATATGCTCCTAATCAAATAAGAACAAGAGTCCAATTCCATTGCCATTAAGAATAGAGTAAACTCGAAATTAGGAAAGGGTGCAAGTCGAACTCTAATGGCCATTAGAAAGAATAGGGTAAGAATTGAACTCAAACATTAAGAAAATGATAAAATTTGAAGTTCTAGCATTAGATATGTGAGGGTAAACGTTTTTTGCCACTTAAGTTACAAGTTATCTTAATTTTTTAATTTGGTGATTGACATATTTGTTTTTTTACCACTTTTATCTGCAGGGCCATCATAAGTCAGGTCATGGTCATCATAAGAAAGGTGGCGGCCATAAGCCAGGTCAGGGTCATCATAAGAAGGGTCATCATAAGAAAGGTGGCAGCCATAAGCCAGGTCAGGGTCATCATAAGAAAGGTGGCGGCCATCATAAGAAAGGTCAGGGTGATAATGGCTCAGTGAAGGGCCATCATGGGCCAGGCCAAGGACATCATCTTAGTGGCGGTCACCAACGTAATCCTCATCCACCACATCCGCCGCTAATAACAAAATACCAATCAATACAACACTAAATACCTCACCGCATTTGCCGTCGACTCCACTCCGATCATCTCTCTCCAAGGAAAAATCCTCAACTCTACCTTGGAATGTTAACTCCTTTTCTTAAATAGTGTTCAACGTTCTCTTTCATTCATGCTTAATATCATAATATTTTTATGTACAACTGAGGGATGAAAAAGAGGAAAAGAAAGGGTTGCCAATGTGTTAATAAGAAGTACAACTTTTTCCAAGTATGTGTTTATTATGGCCCAAAATAATTAAACAACATCACGGATGCATATTTTTGTCACTGAGAGAAACAGAGTGACCGATTGATAGACATTGTACAATCTAACACTTCAATTATGGCTACTAGACCCTCAAGTGTGCCTTGGGAGGCCTAATTTCGTGCATTTTTCTGTCTGTATTTTGTAATTAAGGGCACTATAAAATCTTCATTCTGAGGAGAAGACCTTGGTCTCTAACTGATAAGCTTTAGTAAAGAAGGCAGGCCAACACAGATATGTTGACAAGATGCTGCTAACTGTAGATGCACCAATGAGAAAGTTCATCACAACAATCTGTAGCTGAATGGCCTCCAGAGGAGAAGCTCCTCCCATTATAAGCCCCGTCATGGCACCAGGAAGCGAGATGAGACCCACGGTTTTCGCATTGTCCAGAACCGGAGACAGGGAAATTACCAAAGCTCTCTTCACCTGCTGAAGTGTTGCTTGGCGCGGGGTGGCCCCGAGAGCCAATGCTGTCTCTACCTGCAAAACAAAAAATCAGTAAACCACCAACAAAAAAAAAAAAAAAAGACTTTCAACCAATATAGTTTCCTAAATTTCCATTAGTTCTCTTTGTGTAAGAATTAACCTACCAGATTCATTTGAGTTCGAATATCGTCGCGAAGTCTTTTCATTGTAACCCCGGTTACTGTCATTGAATTTCCTACCATCATTCCAGCAACAGGGATGATATATCTTGGAGTGAATGGGAAGACTCTGAGCAAAACAAGCAGGAGCATTGTGATAGAGGTTCCAGCCAATATGGAAGCCCCAGCAACATACTTCCCTCTAGGGACATGCTTAGCCCTTTGGCCTGCTGTGTAACCAGCCACAGTTACCTGCAGAGCAACAATCACATAAGCTCATGAAATAGAGATCAAGAATTAAAGTGAAAATTAATAATAAAAAGCACTAGAAGTGCTACCTAGCATATCAAAATCCATTTAAAATTCAATGTAAATAGTTTTTTTTTTTTTTGGATCGTCTTTTCTGGGTATCTTCTGAAATTCAATTGCTTTTGTCTCTGTAGAATTCTATACTGAAGCAGAGTATTAATTTCTTACATCTTTCTTTTAGAGACCTCTACTTCTACAAAATCCAAAAAATTTAACCAACCAATCAACATACTTCAAAAGGTAATTAAACCCATGAAAAAGGGTAGAGAACAATCAGTTCAAATTCTTTTCTTTTCCTTCTCAATTTTCTCAGAAACCAAACACATGGGCAACAAAATGCAACACAAAAGAGGCAATCACAAACCATGAAAAGGTAAGCCAGAATGATCCAAGCAGCATTGTCCCGAGTGAAAATGAACTGCAGAACAAACCCAATAATGGAGAGCTGGACAAAGGCCCTAGCAATGGAGTAAATCATCTCTCCACCCAAACCCAGCTTCTGCATGAAGGACAAGGCCACCGCCAACAGCACCACCACCGTCGCGGCCAGCGGCTTCACCATGCCCTTGAGAAAATCCGCCATCCATGTTAAGTCCATGTTGGCCAGGAGCTCGGAGAAGGAAAGAAAAAGAACCTGGTCAGCATACAGGCCTTGTGCAATATTTGTGTGGTTTGGAGGGGTTTGCGTGGTGGTGGAGAGAAGTGATGCCATTGTTGAGAAACTGATAACGAAATTCTGATGGGGGATGAAGAAATTAAAAACATGGGAGGAGGAGAGAGGGTAGAGAGAGAGGGGAAGAGAAACGACCTTCCCCAGAGGTTTGAATCACTTGGTGTAGTTGACAACTTGAAGATCTTTTTTTGTTTTGTGGGGAAGAATTAATTAGGGAGATAATCAATGATTAAGTGGAAGTGATTAAATTAATGGATTCCGTATTTCTGTTACGGAGAAAAGCAAACGGGTTTTTCTGCGTACGGCCACAACGAAAGGACAGGCACGACTGGGGGGGACGGTTTGTTGTACTGCAACTCTCGGGTGCTTTGTGGTCAACTGGGCGGGTGGTGGGGCCCGGGTTGCGTGGGTTGACGTGGCGGGAATGGTAGTTGTGGGCGGGGGCCCACTGATAAGCAGGTAGGTTTTTTGGCTTCAGGTGGATGGATCATGGATCCTTGTCAATTTTTGTATGGGGAAGAAGAAAAAGACTCTTGTCGCAGAGCTGCTGAGTACGGCGTTTTTGTTTTTACGGTGACATCCTCCGAGCATCTTCATTGCAAGGGTGTGAAGGAAAATGTAAAGGACATTTACGCATAGAATTGTCAGAAATTACTCTAATAATGGGGTATAAATGAATGCAAATATAGCATTTCACCGGAAAAAGTTTTTTTATTTATTTAAAAAATTGACATTTACATCTGATTTTACATCCTCATTTATTGGGCTCCATAGGCTGAAAAGGAGGAGAAATAATGCAAAAATGGTAGGTTCCAAACATATAAAAGTTGAGATAGCTACTAAAATACCAGAAATATTCTTTTGCTTCAACTTGATATGAAATCATTTCATTTCATGTCATTTTTACATCTCCAATTTACATCTATCCTATTGAAGGAAAAACGACATTTACATCTCCTAAAAGTATAAAGAACTTGTAAATATGGCTTTACACCTCTTAAAATGGAGATGCTCTTATGGCCATGACATTGATCCATCAATTCATCATCTGTGCAATGGTTACATGTTTCAATACCGACATTTTCTTGAATTGGGAAAAATTAAAGATTGTAACATTATGTGTCATGCCGGTTGTATTTATCAATTCATTTTAGTTATAAACTATAGAACGTATTAAGAGCGAAAACACAAAAAGGGATTCCCGTAATTTTCACATGCATAAAATTGTCACAATTTTCATTCAAAAAGACTCAAGGCTTATATAAGGCAGGTGATAACTTGTAAGGAGCGGTCCCTAGTTATACCTGTGAAGGAGGATCTGGCTCTACTTAGTAATAAGAGAGTAAGGCCAGGCCAGGCCCTTCTGATATTTATTTAAACCCTAATAATTCCAAAGTAAACATGTCAAAAATCTACTCAACTTTTAATACATTATACATGATAGATAGATTGGTCCCCATATGATTACTATTTGTAGAAATTGGAATAACGAACATGCCCCTCCAATTGTAGCTGACGTGTCCAACCATGGAATAATGTGTCACATTAGTTTTTTAAACAAGTACTTATTCTGCAATCTAATTTAATTAGTAGCAAAATACGTTTTTAAATATGATTTAGTTATTTATTTATTTGGCTCGTTATTCTGTGATTGGCATAGAGAAGGAATCTCTTTAGTCAGTGGAAAATGAAAAGGAAAAGCCCAGGAAAAAGAATAATCTGCCCATAAGATTATAAATATTTAAATAATTTATAAGTATATTTTCAGTCCAATATAGCAAATATACAACTGTTCTTAGTTCTTACTATCTACACACACAATCCTTATCTAGAGTAGAGAAAATCAAATGTACTGTGTGTTGGGTGGATGGCGAGGATTGGTTGGGTTGGGTGGACATTGATATGGACTCCAATGGATACGACATATTGGTCCTTCTCATTGGCAGGATAAAGAAATCATGTTGGTTATCAGAGATGACAACTTTATATCAACAGTTGTGTTCTGTCTTATTTGCTTGTCTTGAACCTGAAAAGTGGAAGAGGTTAGCTCAATCCACTTAAATCTTAATTAACACTAGTTAAGAGAACTCACATTGTAAATCAAGTTTGACTCACATGCATATTGTAATATTTAGCTGTGGTATAGTTTTGTTATAGGTGTATTTGCTCGTAATAAAAGTATCTTATAAATTTCCTATCGTTTGTATTAAAAAATATATAATAAGGGTATATAATTTGCAATAATCTTAATATAATATTTACAAAGTATAGCCGCGCGGCTATACTACTTATTTATTTTTTGTTAAAAGGACCCGCCTAGTGTTTGGTGGCCCATTTTAGTATCGCCGTGTGGCTATACCTGAGATTTTAGTATCACACAGCTATACTAATACACCTTTAAAAAAATTCAATAGTAGTATAGCCGTTCGGCTATACGAGGGACTTTTTAATTTTGTTTTTATTAAATAGCAGCCAAGCGGCTATGCTCTGAAATTTTTATAATTTTTTTTAATAAATAGTATAGCCGACCGGCTATACCCGAGACTTTTTATAAATTTTTTTCAATAGTATGTTCACGCGGCTATACTCAGACAAGATAAGCGTTTTTGGCCATGGCAGCAGATAAATCTTGTCTAAGGAAGACACCTGAGCAGCTGACATGGGTGAATGAATCATTGGGAATGATTTAAGGGCATTTTGTTTACCTCCTCACCTACAACTTCTTCTTTTGTTGGGCCATTCTATCTATGCCGACAATGCAGGAAATTCAGCACACACTGTGACTTTCTTTCTCTTTTTATTTTAGCTTTATGTTTCTGCATAATGAGCGTGAGTCGGTTCAAACTTCAAGGAGCTACTTCCTTCCTACTTGTGTTTCTGATTAATCAAGACGTTGCAGACAACTTACCATCCATAATTTCTCATTCTGGGGAGGGAGCATGTACTTGTGCTTGTTTGTGTCTGAGTTGGTTTCAAACCCAATCCAAAATGTTCATGTTTGGAAATTTTCACAACCCAAAACCCAACAAAATTAAATCGGGATTGGATAAGTTGGATTGCTAGTTGGGCTTTGGGATTGGATAAGTTTGGATTGCTAGCTGGGCTAGTGATCACTCTTTTTGGGATAGCTGCTATAATCGGGAAATTTTTTAAGGTTTTTTTAATTAAATAGTAAATCCGAGCGGCTATGCTCTGGACTTTTCTAAATTTTTTTTAAAATAAATAGTATAGCCGCATGGCTATACGCAAGGACTTTTTAAATTTTTTTATAAATATTATAGCCGCACGGCGATACCTGGGACCTTTTTAGCTTTTTTTATTAAATAGTACAGCCGGACGGCGCTACACTGGAAGGGATTTATAGCCGGCGGCTGTACTAGGGACTTTTATTTTTTTAAGATAAATAGTATAGGCGCTCGGCTATACGCGGGATTAATTTAATACATAGTATGGCCGAGCGCAACCGGCCTCTGTAGCATAGAGTCATAGACACTAAAGCCAGTCCACTGTGAATCTCCAAAGCTCGAGAAGAAGCAACGATGTCAAAGCTGGGTCTTCTTCGAACCTCAATCATGTCAAGCCTCTCTGTCCGTACAGCCATGGCTCAAAACCGCGGCCTCACTTCGCTTCTGCGCGAACCGTTGAGACGGTTTTCGACGGAAGCCGAAAACTCGCTTCAGGACTCTTCAACGTCCGATCAGCCGCTGGAGTCTTCGCCGTCCAATAAGCCTCAGAAGTCTTCGCCATCCGATAAGCCTCAGGAGTCTTCGCCGTCCGAATCATTTTTCGAAACCCCAAGCACAGGTATCAGACTCAGCTGCCGCGGGCATTTTCGTCATTTTGCATTTACAAGTTAGGGTTCTTTGGGTTTTGGGTTTTTCATTTCATTGACAAACGTGGCAATGTGTTTTATGTGCTGTTTTCAGGATCGGTGTATGGGAGGCTGCTTGGAGTCAAAAGGAATACGCTGAAGACAGACGTCGTGAATTTGCTGGAAGGCTGTAATTTGAGTCTGGATGATGTTAAAATGGATTATAATCGGTGGTTTACGGCGATTGGAATGTAAATTGCGTGTTGTTTAATTTGTTTGTTTGCGAGTAGAAAGATAGTTTTTCACTTCAATTGTTGATGCTTTTAATTTCCTGTATGCAATGCAATGAATTCATTAGATTCTCCCAATAAAATGTGTTTCCTGATGCTTAGATATGCATTTTTTTTTTGTTATTAGGTTAGTGCAATTCCCGTCGCGGCAAGCCTATGATAATGGAATTAGGATGATTGCCAAAAAGGGCCGCCTGTTTAAATTGGAGAGGGTAATGCTGCCTTGCCATGATGCTTTGATAAGATGTAATTGTTGCTTACCTATTTTGTGGAGTAGTGTGCTAATGACTGGTTTATGAATGACAGGCTAATCGAGCGGAATGGGACTCTCTTACTCCCTATGATGGAAAAACGGTAAGTCTAAGGTTTTCTGTTGTATGTTTATTGTTTTTAACTAAATGTTTTTTCCCTTTAACTTTGGAGTAAGTTTGTCTGTTCGGTTTTACTCGTCATTCAAAAAAATCCCTTGTTATAGAATGGACCAAGTAGGAGGACAAGATTCTTGATGCCTTAAACACCGTTAATATATTGTTCATGAGGAATCCATATATTCGGCATTGGAGGCTAATTCAAACTCTACTGGCTTGCCATATATGCCATAGGCAGTTTGATACTGTACAGTTTACTTGGGTTCCTGGACACCGTTGTTTTAGTATGTTTGCAAGAAATTTGGTAAACCGAGGCTGCCGTATGTACATATTATATGTTGTCTTTGTAATTTGTAGTCTCCCCCCAAGTATACGCCATGAACAAGTGATACTTTGTTTTGGTGATTGAATTAGAATCCAATATATCTTTAGCTTACAATCAATTTGTTATCCCATGACGAAGATATTTCTGAAAACACTTCAAATGGACTTGCCTGCTGTTACCAGGTTTTATTGCAAGGAATCCCTCCTAATGCGGTTCCAGAAGATGTAGATCGTTTTCTGTGTGGTTGTGAATATGATTCGTCTTCCCTCCAATTAAGTTTCAGGTATGCCTAGTAGATTGCAAAGAATATGAACTCAAAAATATCATTCTTAAATTGATTTCACTTTGTTAAATCTTTTAAATTTTTTTTTTTTTACAGACCTTCCCAAGAGCCCGCTAAATGGGCAACTGTTCGCTTTCATACTCAAACTGAGGCAATGAATGCATTCCTTGTGAAGAACAAAGGCTTCTGCCTGAATGGTGAAGT